GACCACACCAGGATCCCATCTCTCTTTCTCAGTCCTATGAGAATTTGGGGCATACACATGCCTGGTGTGTTTTTCAAGCCACTAGGGCCAGGATCAGAACCTCAGACAGCCATGTGGAATCTGGCTCCCTTAACCACTAGGCTACAGGGCCAGCCCCAAGTTTGTTATTTATTTCTCCCATGAGTATGGCAAACAGAGAAGCAGACATAGCATGTCTAATGGGATCTTGACACCATAATCCACCCCCAGCCTCAGCCAGCCCTGGATGACAGACACATGCCTGCAGGGGGGGGGTTTCTATTAATAGTTGCAAACCTGGAAGCTTCCCGGGTGGGTGAGCCTTGCAGAGGGTCATGTTTTACTGCTGTACCACGGTGCAACCCCCACCTCATGCTTCTTCTTTGCAGTCTGCACTCCATGCTCCTCATGCCCTGGGTAACCTCTGGCTCTGGTGACTGGTTCCTGAGCTCTGCCACACAGTGCACTGGGCAGGGGGTGACACACCTGAGTCCAGTTGCAGGCTCCACTACAGGTGCCCAGAGGGAACATTACCCGTGACCTTCTCACCAGAGCTGACACAGGGGAGGCCTCAGTTTTGTCATCCATACAATGGAGACAGAGAAAGCATTACGCCAGCTGGGCTTGGTGGTGCATGCTTGTAATCCCAGCAACTGTAGAGGCTGAGGCTTGAGCGTTCAGGGTTCAAGCTCAACCTGGCCAGCATAGTGAGAATTTGTCTCTAAACAAAAATGTAAAAGCTAACAAACTTGGGGCTGGTGCGTGGCATGGTGGTTAAGGGCACTGGACTCCCACATGGCCGACCATGGTTCAAGTCCTGGAGCTGACCGCTTGCTTTCTCTCTCTCTCACTTTCTGTCTCTCTCACTCTGCCCCTCTCTGGTCAAATTAAAATAAATAAATAAATTTAAATAAAATAATTCTTTAAAAACAAAAAAAGCTAACAGACTCTTTTTTTTAAGAGTTTTTTGCCTAGGGCAAGTGTACTTGCTGGGAAGAGACAAGAGAGTGAAAGTGAGAAATCACCTCCCTGGGGGGAAGGCCACACCACAGTTCGTTCTCCATTCTCCTTCCCAGATCTTGGGCACGCATGCATCCAGTGTGAGTTTCAAGCCACCGGGTCCAGGACTCCAACCGGGGTCAACCATGTGGGAGTCCAGTACCTTCACCACCACACCACTTGCTGGCCCCTACAAGTTGTCAGACTCAGGACCAGCAGTTAGCATAATGGCTATGTCACTGGACTCCCATGTAGTCGATCGCAGATCGAGTCCTGGAACCGGTGGCTTAAACTCACGTCGGACGCGTGTACGTGCGTGCCCAAGATCCTGAGAGGAGAATGGAGAAAGGATTGCGGCGTGGCCATTCCCCCTGGGGGGGGAATTCTCGCTTTCTATCTCTCTGTCTCTCTCTGTCTGGCGAGTGCACGCGCCCTATAGCAAAAACCTCTCAAAATAAATAAATAAATAAATAAAAGTGTCAGACACTTAATATGTGCACGGCTCTGTCCAGAGCATCTTAGAGACGCGTGAACTTAGTCCTTGCAACAGCCTCTAGGCGGGTCCTGTTAGCATCTCCATTTTACAGGTGAGATAACTGAGGCCCTGGGGGCAGATTCCAGCCCAGGCCGTCTGCTGCTGAGCACATGTACCCTGTCCACCTGCTTCCTGACCTCCGTCACCCTGCATTACTTCTCTTCTTGCAGTTATCAGCGACTAAAGTTATCTTGTCTTATTGCTTGTTCAGTGCCTGTCTGCCTGCCCTTAGAATATTAGCTCGCAAGCCAGCACCGTAGCCTGGTGGTTACACGGCTGACTTCGGATCGAATCCCTTCCCTCGTGGCTTGAAAAGCACGCTGGGGTCATGTGCATGCTTGCCCCAAATCCGACAGGGTGGTGAAATGGAGAAGAAGGAATTGCGAGATGATTCTGCCCCACTGGAGCTACTTTCTCCCTCTCCCCTTCCCTGTCTCTCTAGTGAGTGCCCTCAGGTAGCTTTTAAAAAAGAATGTGGGCTTGGGGCTGACAGGTGGCACAGTAGTTAAGGTCGCTGGACTCCCATATGGCTGGCTGCAGTTCGAGTCCCTGCCCTGGTGGCTTGCTTTCTCACTTTCTCTTTCTTTCTCTCTCTTAGTCTCTCTCTGGTCAAATTACAAAATAAAATAATAATAATAATAAGGGGCTGGCAGGTGGCGTGGTAGTTAAAAGTGCTGGATTCCCATATGGCTGACCGCGGTTCAAGTCCCAGAACTGGTGGCTTGTTTTCTCGCTTTCCCTTTCTCTCTTTCTCGGGTCAAATTAAAAAATAATAACAAATGAAATTAAATAAATAATTCTTCTTCTTCTTCTTCTTCTTCTTCTTCTTCTTCTTCTTCTTCTTCTTCTTCTTCTTCTTCTTCTTCTTCTTCTTCTTCTTCTTCTTCTTCTTCTTCTTCTTCTTCTTCTTCTTCTTCTTCTTCTTCTTCTTTTCTTCTTCTTCTTCTTTGGAGAGGTTTTTCTCTAGGGCACATGTGCTCACCAGAAGGACAGAGAGAGACAGAGAGACAGAAAGTGAGAAATCACCTCCCAGGGGGGATGGCCACACTGCAATCCCTTCTCCGTTTTCCTTGCAGGATTTTGGACACACACGCACATGCACCTGGTGGGAGTTTTAAGCCACCAGGTCCAGGACTGGAACTGTGGTCTACTACATGGGAGTCCTGCGACGTAACCATCACGCCATCTGCTGGTCCCACATAAATAATTCTTTTTAAAAAGTGAAAGAGAGGCAGCAGATGGCGTAGTAGTTAAGGGCGCTGGACTCCCACAAGGCCCACCACTACTCGAGTCCCTGACCCGGTGGTGTGTTTTCTCACTGTCTGTCCCTCTCTGATCCAAATTTTAAAAATAAATAAATAGGTAAGGTAAAATAATTCTTTAAAAAGGAAAAGAATGTTATTAGCTCCCTAAGGGCAAGGCCTGTCCCTGGTGGACCAGAAGTGGCTGGCTGAATGCAGGCACCTCAGCCAGTTCCGTACCTGGCTCCAGTGGCGCAGAGGGGGTCCCATGAGCGGACCCTGA